AGGATTCCCTTAATCGAGAGTATCCTTGGGCATCCCCCAAGATGTAATTAATCAAAAGGATGCATTCTTTTGGAAGTTGCTCTTGGCCCCATAACAGAAATGTTCCTTTTAGTTCTCTGGTTGTTGCTTATGTAGGGTTTCTCCTTATAGATGAAGTGCTTCAAGGTGTTTTGATCCAGTCTTGATCTGGACATACACTCTTGGCCCATCACACAAAGTTTACCCTACATAAGTTTTCCATATTCTTTTTCAAATTTTATTGTACAATTCAGACATGTGTTCTCCTTTTCCAGACCCTTCTCTTCTCCAAATCATTTTGACAATCTAATAAAGAGGCCAACTTGGAGGGAGAACTACACGACAACAAATAGATAAGCTGGCGGATATGAGTTACAAAAAGAACCAAATCACTGATGATAACATTTTTTTTCCAAATGAAACCCTTTTGGGTTTAACTCTACTAACATATCTAATTATTTATGTGCTAAGATTGATTTGAGGAAAGGCTTTGTAGTGTTAGAAGGGTGGTCTTTCTATATGAAAGCATGAAAAATCTTGGCTTTCCATCCAAATTTATAGGTTGGATCATTGCTTACACCAAAGATGTTTTGGTTTCTATCTTTATTAAAAGTGAGATTCATGGTAATTTCTCTACCACTTCAGGGCTAAGGCAAGGTTGGCCTTGACCAAAAGAAAATATGTTGAGATTTTCATACCTATTTTATACTGATTTTGATGATATTGCACTTTAAAGAAGGGTATTTTTTATGTTTTGTTGCAGGTATGATGAATTATGATCATTGGAGCAAAAAGATACAAAAATGGTACAATTTGGAGCAAAAAAACGAGCAAGAAATGAAATTTTGCCCTATCACCTTTCAATAAGTCTTTTGATGTTTAATCTCTTTTACACTTGTTGCATATTTTTGAATTATTGCTTAATATCTTTTACAATTCTTGCATATTTTTGAATGAGATTACACTTTAAAGTAAGGTTGGGGCTATCTATTAGGAACACAACGCAACTGAAATAGAGCGAAATAGAGCTAAAACGGAGCCAAACGGAGCGAAACGGTGGAGCTGCGCAGTCTGCTCGCCGACGACGCCCAAAACGGCACTAACGGAGAGATTTAATTGAGAAGACCAAAAAATGGCCCTCGAGCCCACCGACGGCGCCCTCGAGCCCGCCGACAGCGCCCTCGACGGTTATACCTACTCAAGCTTTGGAAAAGGCCAAATTTTGAAGGGATGCTTAGGAAACTCTTGGGAACGCTCCTCCACAACTTAAA